CGTGGGGCCTGAACTCTGGGCCTGGGCGCTGTCCCTCAGCTCTTCAGCTCAAGGCTAGCACTCTACCACTTGAGCCACATTGCCACTTCCAGTTGTGGTGCTGAGGAATCGAACCCAGGGCCTCGAGCATGCAAGGCAAGTGCTCTACCACTGAGCCACCTTCCCAGCCCCAGTACTTACTTTTATATACTTATACTTCCTATTTTAGAGTATACTCCTTCTACTTTCTAAAAACAAAAACATTTTTGTAAAACAGTACAGCCAGTTACTTCAGCAGTGGCCTCCCTCACACAGCTTGTATTAATTGCATTCCTTGATTGCATCAATGTCAGTGTCCAGTGACTTAACTCTGGCGTCTACATCTAAGCAGTATACTCTGTGATGTTATTAAAATGACAAAATTGCTTAACAATAAATATCTCCAAATATGTACCCATCATTAAGCAGCATATACTGTACTGCAAATGTTAATTAAATCCATTACCTCTGAGAGAGATGCATCAACCTTGGAAGAAATTTTCAGGTCTAACCATGGCTGGTAGTTTTCAAGTAGTAAGGAAGGCCTAAAGAAAATCAAATACTTAAATCACTTATAATCTAAAATGAAATTAGAAAGATCAATAAATAAAAAATGTTTAACTTACCTATGGCGTTTACATTTCACTTTACCACAAACAGCACAGCTATGGCCTTGAGGAAATAATTCCTGGAGTCCTAATTGCTAAAAAGAGGAAAATTGAGGAACAGATGTACTTCATGTCCTCTAAAACACTTTCAGTAAGAAACAGCACAGTATCATATAAACTAACTTTTAAAAATAAAAACAGAATTTTACCTTGGGTTTGTATTTTATTGTGAAGAATATATTTGGTAAGAGAGAATCAGGACCTAGTGAGCAGTAGAATGTGACAACTCCAGCAACAAATGACCAAAAGATCATTAAGACATGAAGATACCTTAAAAAAATCAATTTAAAAAAAAAGGTCAGAACCAAAGAAAATGTGTGACTCTAAGTCATCCTTTCATTGCTTTAACAAATATTTATTAGGTATACCAGTCAGAAGCAGTGTTTCCTAATCATGATTATATCTCTGTAATGTACTTATTAAATACATGAACCATAAAATAGATGCTATCAAATTATAATTCATCCAAAGTAAAAGAATTTTCAACATTCCTTAATTCCTATAATTCCTATATTGTAGCCTATACTACACTCTTCCAGAATGTCATTAAACACCATTATGTTCACATTCAAAAAATTATCATTTCTCATTTAATTAAAAGGAAATTAACTAAATACCTACTTTGTTCTAGTCAGTGTTAGGCTCTCTCTGCAGATACAGTTAGAGCACACCACTGTTTTGTGCTCTATTTGAATGGAAAACACCATCTAATAGTATAAATAAGTACAGTGTAATGTGATCATCTGTTCCATATTACGACAAAGTATATGATATACAGGGACAATGCTGACCAACTGCCTAACCCAAATTTGAAAGGAGAGAAATATCCTTTTCAGAAACAGCAAAATACATAGGAAAATAGCAAGTTAATATGAGTAAACCAACAGAACAGAGTATAGAACAGGAATAGGAGACTGGGAAAAGGCAGGAAATTCAAATTTGAGAGAACCATATGGCTAAGGTTTGGGGACACTTCTATAAAATTAACTTGAGAAGACTCAAAAAAAAAAAAAAGGAATCAAAAGCCAGATAATACAGTGTCATCATGCCAAGATATCTCAATACTACAAGCAGTCCTCATGCTGTACAATTTTGACATGCATGAATTTCAGCTACTACAACTTTGTTAATATCATATATGCAAATGAATATAACTCAACAGTCAAGATACCTGTACAGCCATAAACCAAAATATGGAAAAAGCCTATGTGCCCATCAACCATTGAGTGGAGAAAGTATGTGGGTGTGTATATACATGCATGCACACACATGCATGTGCGCGCGCGTGCACACACACACACACACACACACACACACACACACCCCTCATATTATTTAGAAAGCAAAAAGTGAAATTATGGCCGGGCACCAGTGGCTCATACCTGTGATCCTAGCAACTCAGGGGGCTAAGATCTGAGGATCATGGTTCAAAGCTAGCACGGGCAGGAAAGTCCATGAGACCTAAAGCTTGAACTCAGGGCCTGTCCCTAGCTTCTTTTGCACAAGGTTAGCACTATACCACCAAGCTTTTTCTGTTTATGTGGTGCTGAGGAATCAAACCCAGGGCTTCATGCATGCTACGCAAGCACTCTACCACTAAGCCATATTCCCACACCTTCATAAGACTTTTTTTTTTTTTGGGTGGGTTGTGGGGCTTGAACTCTGGGTCTGGACGCTGTCCCTCAGTTCTTCATCTCAAAGAGAGTACTCTACCACTTGAGCCACAGCACCACTTCCAGTTTTCTGGTGGCTTATTGGAGATAAAGCTCAGACTTTATGGGGCTGGGAAAGGTGGCTCAGTGGTAGAACGCTTGCCTTGCATGCCTAAGGCCCTGGGTTGGATTCCTCAGCACCACATAAGCAAAAAGAAAAAAAAGCCGGAAGTGGCGCTGTGGCTCAAGTGGTAGAGCGCTAGCCTTGAGCTGAAGAGCTGAGGGATAGCGCCCAGGCCCAGAGTTCAGGCCCCACGACCGGACACACACAACAAAAAAAAAGAATCTCAGACTTTCCTGACAGGGCTGGCTTTGAACCGGGAGATCCTCAGATCTCAGAGTCCTGGGTAGCTAGGTTTGCAGGCGTGAGCCTGCCAGGTCCTCGAGACTCTTATCTCCACAAAACTACAGGAAAAAAGCTGAAGCTCAGGGTCAGTGCCCAGGCCCTGAGTTCAAGCCCCAGAAAAGAGAGAGTGAAAGAGAGAGAGTAAAAGAGGGGGAGGGGAGGGAGGGAGGAAGGGAGGGACCAAGGGAAGGAAGAAAAGAAGGGAGGGGGAAGAGGAAGGAAGGGGGAGAGGGGGAGGGAGGGAGGACTAGGTGCCAGTGACACACCTTTAATCCTAGCTACTTAGAAGGCTGAGATCTGAGGATCAGTGGTTGAAGCCGAAAGTCTGTGAGACTCTATTCTCCAACCCTACCACCAAAAAGCTGAAAGTGGAGCTGCTGCTTAAGTGGTAGAGTGCTAGCCTTGAAAAAAAGCTCAGAGATAGCACCAAAAAAATAAACAAAAAATTATACCATAGTTCCTAGGCCTTGAATTCAAGCCCAACAAAGAAAAGAAAGAGAGAAAGGGGAGGGGAGGAATAGGGGGAAAAGAAGGGGAGGGAGTGGAGGTGGAAGAGAAGGAAGGAATGAAGTGAGGGAGAGAGGAATTATGTTGTTTGCAGGAAAATGAATAAATCTAGAAGTAATCTTGTTAAGTACAATAAACCAGAATAAAAAATTCAATATCACATATTCTCTCATATGTGGAATCAAATCCATAAAAATGAATGACAGGAATGTAAAATGGGCTCTACCTGAAGGTACTAGTGGGAGGAGAAAGACAAAGGGGAGGAATGGAGTGTAAGTGCTTTAAACATGTGTCTGAAAAATACGACAATAAAATCTGCTGAAAAAAATTTTGAAGGGAAAAGGGAGCCAAGGTGCCAGTGGCTTACACCTGTAATCCTAGCTCCTCAGTAGGCCAAATTCTGAGGACCGCAAGTAGGAATGTCCAAAAGACTCATCTCCAGTTAGCTGCCCAAAGAAAAAAGCCAGAGGTGGAGGTGTGGCTCAACTGGTAGAGTCCTAGCCTTGAGCGAAAAGCTCAGAGACAGCACCTAAGCCCTGAGTTCAAGCCCCAAGACCCATACAAAAAATAAAAGGGGGACTGAGAAGGTAGCTCAGCCGTAGTTGCAATTTGGATAATGGTCTAGCCAAGGAACAAGAAGCAAAATCAAACACTGAATTGAAGAATTTAGGAGACTCAGTGATGCACAAGAGAAGTAAAAAGATGCTGATCTTTTTTGAGGACATCTGGAAAGAAAAATTGAGAGGATTAAAAAAATAAGCAGTTGATTAGACCTGAGAAGAAAGGAGATTTTAAAAGTCAGACTTTGAAGAAAATATGAAGAGGGCTTGGAAGGTGGCTCAGTGGTAGAGCGCTTGCCTTGCATGCATAAGGCCCTGGGTTCGATTCCTCAGCACCACAAGAGAAAAAAAAGCCAGAAGTGGTGCTGTGGCTCAAGTGGTAGAGCGCTAGCCTTGAGCTGAAGAGCTCAGGGACAGTGTCCAGGCCCAGAATTCAGGCCCCACGACTAGACCAAAAAGAAAAAAAGAAAAAGAAAATATGAAGAAAAGATTTTTTTTAATGGGAACTAGCACAAAAATAACTGAAGTATGGGAATAAAGTATGATCCAGGGAAAAATACATAATTAAAAAGGAAGAGACCATGTGAGTGAGTACAAGAGGGGAAAACTGGGAGAGAAGGAGGGAAGGGGTGACAATGTCCAAAAAGAAATGTACTCTTTATCTGACTTCTACAATTCTAACCCCTCTCTATATTATCTTATAATAATAATTTTTTTTAATTTTTTTTTTTGGTCCGGTCGTGGGGCTTGAACTCTGGGCCTGGGCACTGTCCCTCAACTCTTCAGCTCAAGGCTAGCGCCCTACCACTTGAGCCACAGCGCCACTTCCAGCTTTTTTCTTTTTGCTTATGTGGTGCTGAGGAATCGAACCCAGGGCCTCGAGCATGCAAGGCAAGCGCTCTACCACTGAGCCACCTTCCCAGCCCCTAATTTTTTTAAAAAAATTTAAAGAACCAGGTCCAAATGGCTTCATGCTTATAATCCTAGTTACTCAGGAGGTTAAGATCTAAGAATCAAGGTTTAAAGCCAGGCTAGACAGTAAAGTCTGTGAGACTCTAAGCTCCAATTAAACAGCAGAGTGGGAAGTTTAGATGTAGCTCAAGTATAAAGTGCCAACCTTGAGCAGAAAAAGCAAAAGAACAGTGACCAGGTCCTAAGTTCAAGACTAATACTAGCACATATATACACACACACACAAAAGAGATGAGGGGCTGGGAATGTGGCTTAGTGGTAGAATGCTTGCCTAGCATGCATGAAACCCTGGATTCCATTTCTCAGTACCACATAGACAGAAAAAAACTGGATATGGTGCTGTGGCTCAAGAGGTAGAGTGCTGCTAGCCTTGAGCAAAAGAAGCTCAGGGACAGTGCCCAGGTTGATTCAAGCCCCGGGACTGGAAAAAATAAAAAGAGAGATGGATAGAGTTGTGAAGCCAAATCGCACAGGGACAGCACATAGGCCCAAAGTTCAAGCCCCAGGACCAAAAAAAAAAAAAAAGCTAAGTTCTAGAGGATTAAGGTTCAAAGCAAGCCCAGCAGAAACATCTTCAAAAGTCTTTCTCCAAAATATCCACTACTTTGTAGTAAAAGGGGGTATGGCTCAAATGGAAAAATACCAGATATGAAGAAGAAAGCAAGAGAATGATTCCAAGTTCTGGTACCACCAAAAACAACCTAATCACACTTGAAGTTGCTAAGTGAGAAGACAGGAGAAAAAAGGTAAATGAAAATGTAACAGAGGACACAGATAAAGCTGAGATTCAGAATCTAATTAGAAGAAATGATAAGTAAAGGGAAAGAGATCTTTTCCTCAGAGTAAAAGGTACAGGGGTCCTAATCAGAGATTATAGAAGCTGGAAAATTCTAAAGGTGTTGCAGGGTAGAAGGATAAGATATTCTCAGTAACTGCAGCACAGTACTGAAGTTAAAGAATAAATTTTCAAGCTGGGCGCTGGTGGCTCACGCCTGTAATCCTAGCTACTCAGGAGGCTGAGATCTGAGGATCGCGGTTCAAAGCCAGCCCGGGCAGGAAAGACCATGAGACTCCTATCTCCAATAAAACCACCAGAAAAACCGGAAGTGGCACTGTAGCTCAAGTGGTAGAGCGCTTGCCTTGAGCTGAAGAGCTGAGGGACAGCACCC